TCCCGACAATTGTTTTTTTTTTCGCAGAAAATTCATCTTGCAAGTTTCACAGAAGTAAAAAAAAAATTGTCAGTTGTGACATTGAGTCCGGAGATTAGATGTGGTTGCAGTAATTTGAGAACTACACTTTCCCCAAGTTGTAAATTAGTTGGTCGTTCTTCATCCTTGCCCAGATAAGGATAACCATTCAAAACATATTTGGATTTTACATCAGTTGCTAGCCAGAATTTGATGCCAAACTTGTCCAGTTTATTCGCCATGTACTGGATAAATCTACATCTTGATTTACAAGGCAACAATTGTTCATCAATGGTTATTTCTGGTCAGTTTTCCATTAGCTTGTACCAGGTTTCAAAAGTGAGAGCAAATTTGTTAGTGGTGAGACGATCAGCTCTGGTGCTTCGGGCATCGAATCTGAGATACCGCATTATATCACGGAAACGATTGCACACATTGTTTCTTTGAACACATGTGGTCCCCAATTCTTGTTCCACAAATCATCTGTTCAAGGAGGGCAAGGCACTCTTGTGTACTCAATCCTCTTCCTCTCGGCATTGCAATGGAGAGAGAATATGCTCCATTCTGGATTTTATTTTTCTCCCCTGAGTCATCGCGATAAGAGCTGTGTGTTTCCCAATGCGCAGAAAACAAAAACGTGGCATCGGGAATTCGAAAACGAACATTCACTTAAAAATATGTCGTTTTTCTTATGAGGGTCGAAATGACCCCAGTTGGCTGTTTTAGGTATATTTGCGATTATTAATTATTAATTAACGTAGAAATATGAAAAATTGGCATAGTATACCTGGAAACATTTTAGAAAAAGTAAAAAATTATCAACTTCGAAGCTAAGCTGTTTGTTAAAAAAAAACGCGGAAAATTGGAAAAAAAGGTCAAAATGACCCCAACGGCGCTTCTAGTGTTAAGATATCAATTAATTGTTCTTCTTCATTTAGAGATACATTGAAATTGAAAATACCAAAGGAAAATGGGTCGCGGATCCAACCTAATTTCTTATTTGGAAATTTTTTTGTCAATTTTACCATATGTTGTTTTAAACTAGAAATCTCTTATTATTTTCTTCAGTAAATTCTGAAAAACATGTTTCTGTTGTTTTTGTTCAATTCTCCTTGCCAAAGTATTAGTGCTTTTAAAAGCTTCAACATTGGTGCTTAGTATTAAAATACTTAGGTTTTTAGACAATGTCTACCATGTAACTGAGTTTTCCTAACCAATCATTATCAATGAATGAACTTGCTGATGTATGTTTCTTTTCTTCCAAAAATATGTTAACTGTATTCTCAAATCGAAAATATGTCACAGTATTTTTCTGTGTGAAAGCCAACTGACTTTGGTAATAATGTCGGTACTTACGTATTAACGCCACCGCAGCAGAAGATGCCCTGATGCGTCAATGAAGAGATATTCTGTTCGCATGCAATTATCTTTTGGACTTCTTTTTGACTTGTTGTTTGCTGATTTTTGACTAGCACTATGAAAATGCATCTTTTGGATTTGCCAAACACAGAAGAAGATGCAATTTTATTTTTCCAGGAGCGAAATATTTTGCCAAAAAAACGAAAATGTACCAATTTGAATGATATGAAACTTTGTTTTGGAAATGTAATTTAAGACAGTGTGATCAGCAAGTGGGATTTAGAAAAGACAACTGGTTTGAAGGAAGCAAAATTCCATTTTGTTCAGCTTTGAGATTTATATACTGCTTGTGCGAGGAGTTGACGTCGATTAAATTTTGTGAAAGGCAACTTGATTTATCAGATAAAACCGTTATAGATTGGAACAATTACATGCGTGAATTATGTGTCTTGGATATGGAGAATAAACCAAACAAGAAGGTAGGTTGACCAGATTGCATTATGGAAATTGATGGAAATTTGTTTACTAAGCCTAAAAATAATTGTGGTTGAGTAATACCCGAACAGTAGGTGTTTGGTGGTATATGTGGAAAAACAAAAGATTAGTTTGTTGTCACCCTTCTTAATAAAATTATTGAAAACATTGCAGATGGTAGCACAATTTATTCTGACAGTTGGAAAGGTTACCAAACAAATAGAATAGATAAAGGATTTCTACATGCTAAAGTTAATCATAAATACAATTTTATTGATCCTGATACAGGAGTTTATACACCAACAGTTGAGAGAATGTGGGGCAGTGCTAAATACAGGAACAAGAGACATAGGATCAGGTCAAAGAACATAGAGACTGTTTTGAATCTATGTTAAACTGTATATCAGTCCATTTTCCACTGAAATCCGATTGACTACTTTGAATTTAAATAAAGTGTTTTAATTTATGATTTGTCGCAAAAATTTCAGGTGTAGATTGGCGGCACTTAAAAGCCGCCAAATCTGCAGCTACGGTGGCGTTAATGCGTAAGTACCATAATGTCTCATACGCAGAACTTATCTCATTACAGTATCTTTTGATAATGCAATTTTCATTATTAACCCTGTTAGTTCTTTATAATTACCTGTTAATGCTGCAGCAGCATCAGTACAAACTACGACATGGTGTGTCTAGGTATGATTATTTGTTTCAAAATATCTGTTAATAAATTCAAATATTTTCTCTCCAATTGCCTTTCCTTCCCAAATATTACAATATAAAAAATATTCTACTGCATCGTCTTCAAAAACGTATTTCAGATAAACAACGAATTGAGACATTTTAGTAATGTAGGTAGTTTCATCAAGTTATATAGTGTCTGATATGACAGAAATTTGGCAAGAAACGGTATCTTTTGATAATGCTATCGTTTTCAAATCATTACTATATTTTTCTCCATGCATAAATGATGTCATTTTAATTGCTGAAGGAAGAATGAGCGATTCTCCAATTGTATGAGGTTTTAAATTTTTTGCAATTAAATATGAAACTTTTAAGCATGCCCGTAAAGCCTTCTCAGGAACTGTTGTATTTTTTCAAAAATACATTTTAATTTTTCATGCTCTCAGCTCATTCCTTAAAAAAATTCTTCAGATTTATTTACTAAATCTTTATGCTTAGTTTCTAAATGTGTTTTTTTATTTCGCAGGTTTCATGTGCCAAGTTTTCACTTCATTTAACACAAAATGGATATTCATTTTCCACTGATAATGCAACATGTAAAACAGTACAAAATAAACTCTACTTGATATTTACTGAATATTTTATTAGAAGTAAACAGAGAGCTAGTGGATTCATTGTATTTTCATTAACAGTTTTTCTCTAAGTTTATTTGATGTTGGTCCATCCATCCTGTTTCTCTTGTAAATACTGCATATCTATTTAGGGCTATTTAACCCCCACAAACAAAATTGCAACTAAAACAAAATTGTTTTTATTATCCTTTGAGACGCTACTGAATTTTCCAATACATAGGAAATGTTATGTGCTTACTTGACAACAAATTTGATTAGAAATAAGAAACAGTTTATAAACAATGCATATTACAATTACGAATTGCAGGCAACATACTACTAAGATAGCCCCCCCCAACAAAAAAAACTACATCTTAGCTGCGCCTATGCAATTCCTTTGAAATTTGATTTGAGCTGTTTGGAAATTATCAAGCATAATACACAAATTGAAAGTAATAAAATCAAAATATGAAAATGTTTAAAATTCCTGGCAAATGTTAAGAAAACATCCAAAATTCTCTTCAAATTCCATATATCTTTTATTGTCGAATAAATTTCTTTGAATTTGGTGACCCCGCAAAAATGTGTTCATGACTCCCAGGTTTAAATTTTGTAAAAAAAACAATACAAGTTATCAATTGCATTTTGGGGGGAAGGGGGAAAGATTTCAGATGTCTGCAACAGATTATTTTCAAAATTACGGGAACGTACGACTTATGTGAAAATGGATAAACATTCGCTGTCCAATGTAAGAAGAGAATTAAGTTTTAATATGTTACGTTCATAGCTTGTGTATTTCGATTATCTAACTAAATACAGAATCATCTACTCCTTCAAACGTCTGCCGAAATAACTGCTAGATCTATCCCATTTCAGATGAACAGAAAGCGTTTTATTCTTATTCAACAATTACAGTAATTTCGCATAATACTTACAAGAAATAAGTTAGGTTATTTAACTAATGTGCAATCAATTTTATTCCTTATTTACATGGCCCACCAGCGGCCGAGTGGTAAAGTCGCTGAACACTGGTAGTTCGGTCCGAGGTTCGAATCCCGCGAACGGGCTGGCTGCATGGGCGTTTTCATGGTTTTCCCCATGTGTAACGTGTATACGAGCCAGTTTCCCTTAGAAAGTCCTCCACGAAGGCATCCCTCCTCTTAGGCAGATAGCCCTCGAGGCTTTGCCATAATCACACACACACACACACATTCCTTATTTACATGAATGACATATCACACAATGCTGTGCAGGCTGGTGACCTAGCGATCATGACTCAAAATGCATCTCTGCGTTCAGGCATACACTCCTTACAAGAATATAACTATGCACTGGAGTCCTAGCTTCAGCAGGTATATTTTGTTGTACTATGCAATCTCTGTGGGTCCTAAATTCTAAAAAACTTTTCCACTCCTATATTCACAAAATTTTACTACTTGATGATTCTGTAAATTCCAAAATTTTGCACACCTGCCATAACCGCAGTGGCTATGGCCTCAGTTATCCAATGTTCTAACAAAGTCAAATATTGTAATGTTATTTCAGACCAGAATTTCTTGGAAGGATTATAAATTTTCCTTTTAAAAAATTATTTGTATATACATAGTCCTAATACATCTGTATATATATCTATTGCACAAAAATCCCTTTCTTACATAAAAATATATATGTATGTATAAAATAACTAATTAAATTGTAAAGGAAGTCAGGATAAAAAATATCCTGTTCTGTTTGCTTAATTAGCAACTATGAAATCTTAAAAAAGTAGTATGAAATTTAAAATGGCAAACATTAAAATAGATGAAAGCAAATAAAATTTAAATTATAGAATGTACTTTAAAAATTAATAACAAGTGGTTAAAAATATATATTTTAATTACTTAAAACATGGAAGATATCTGGCAGAGATTGTTGGATATAAAATTACCACTTCAAATTTTCAGATTACTATTGTTCATATTTAAAGTCTCACTTTTAGACTAGTAGTTTATTCTTCCATTCACATACTTTTCCACAATATTTCATTTTTTATATGCTTGACTATCCAAAATTTCAAGAGCTTTCAGGATATTTTTTTAGTGCGAGTTTTTACTGTACACACATTTCAGTATTTACATCGTCAAAAGTGCACAAACACAGGAACTGGAAAACAAAAAAAAGTACTTATTTGGATATTGTATTTCTTTTTTGTTCATGAAAAACAAAGTTCATTACACAAACATGCAATCACAATGCACAAGCATGTATGGAAATTCTTGACACATTTAGTAATCCTGAGAATTATGTTAAATAAATCAGAAAATACTTTAATGTACAACAAATGAATAAAGTAGTTAAGCTTTTATCAAACAGAACATAATACTACAGTTACGAAGATATTTAATGTTATAAAGTTAGGTAATTTAGTAAATTCAAGTTTTTCACCAAAGCAATGAAGTATTTTGATAATTATGAAGTTCCTTGTATATTTTTATAGATGAACTTTATTGCTGTTTTAAGCAATTAAACAACTGTGCAAGTTATTTTAATAATTTTGAAATATATGCACTAAAACATTAAAATGTATTAATCTATTTGTCAACCTTGACTTTGGCACAAAAGTCTGCAGAATGCTTCGTAGTTTTTAAGCACACAGAGGCACTGCAATTCCTATTCCTTGATCTGAACTTTTCTGCAAGTGTTTTATATTTTTAATTAAAATATCTGTGTTGGCATACATACAATTTTTGTATAGTGACTTCAGATGTGGGTAAGTTTTTCGAACACTTTCGTTTGTTTTACTGGCGTCGCTGAATTTTGCGATGAATGCATCACATTTATTCCTGAGTATCACCTTCCAGATTTTTCATACTGTTAATGTATACATCAGCAGTGAATTATTCTCCTCTTTCCTCAAATACACTATGCAGATAAACAATAACCATTCACTAAAGATTTTGCGTAAATTTCCACTCATAATAATTTAAATTGCGAAAATCTCTCAATTAGCACCTAAACACACTATTCAGCACCACAATTCTTTCAAAAGCACGCTGTAGAAGTCAAAAGTGGGGTACGTCGTCTTCTATTTGCCAAGTGAAACTAGTCGATATTTCCATGACGTCAAAAATTCGAAAAGTGTGGTAGGGTTTGGAAATATGCGGCCCGGAAAGGACCAAAGAAACACAGCAGACGGAAGCTGCAACATTACAGTTTGGATGAGCATTTTGAATGTATCACCTTTGACATCCTAGGACCTCTGCCGTGAACTGCTGATGGCAACAAATACATCCTTGTTGTCATTGATTACTTACAAAGTGGCTTGAAGTGTATCCTATCCCTGATCGAAAGACTGTCATGGTGGCAGAGGTAGTGATACAATGTTGGATTTTCATGTTTGGAGTGTCTCATTAGTTACATTCCAATCAAGGAAAGAATTTTATTTCAAGTGCAATTAAAGAACTCTGTAAACTACTCGGTATGGACAAAATCCAGACACCTTTACATCTGTAGTCGGACAGCATGGTAGAGAGGCTTAATGTCTCTGACGGTTTCCAGAAACAAAGAAGACTAGAAGTTACCTCTGTTCTTACCGGCCTACCACAGTGCTGTCCATGAGGCTACCGGATATTTTCCATTCTAGATGCTTTTTTTTAAGCGTCGTCTGCCTTGTGATCTGTCATTGGGTCGCCCTCTAGATGCATCTTTATCACCTGAGGAGTATATTGAAGATTATTCTCCCGGTTTGAAGCGATGCAGGATTTTGCACAAAGGGAGTCAGCTTGGCAATGGAGAAGATTAATACCTCATATGACACGACAGATACCAGGTAATATAAAACATGAGGGTGCTGCAACCCTCCTGGCCAATAGGCTTCACGGTTAATGCAGCACACCCAACACAGATTAAAAGTAAAATAGAGTGAAAAACATCAAATCAAAATTCCCAGTATTGTTCTCTTGCCATTTATAAAGTTCATCACATCCTTTGCAAATCTAAACTCTTTCTTGCGGCAATAGAATTCCTTTATGCTACTCTGTTTTTGTTGCAATAATATGCAGTATTTGACGAAATGTTGTGCCTTGCTTTCACAGGGTTGCCACGCTACCTGGAAAACCGGAAAAAGTCAGGGAATTCGGAAATTGACCAGAAAATTCAGGGAATTTAAGTGTTTAAGTCAAAATCTGGGAAAGTCAGGGAATTTCATACAATGATCCCGCCAAAAAAGGCGAGTTTTGCGCCGACGTCGGAAGAGATTACTTTTTTGGCGAATTGTGTATCACGTGAGCGTCATTCGGGCAGCTGGAATAGAGCCAATTTTTGTAGCTCCAATTTGATTGTCTTTTAGAAAGGCAAAGCAAGTTTCCCGCAACTTTTGGTTTACAGTAACCTCGAGAGTCGCATGTGCAGTGCATGAACTAAAGAAAGTACCTGTCCTCGTATAAAACAAAATGGGTTTAATCCTAGTATACGGTACCATGAAGGTTAGAACCCAAAAATATGTATTGTAAAGAAGGAAAACCTCTCTGCAACAGACGTGGCTCCGTTCCATCACAGAGGGAAACAGCTGTCCATGCGCGATATATCTGTCGCCAAAGCTCGAAGGTCACGTTATCAAGAGTTCATAAAATGAATATCGTTTAAAATTTCTTTAAACTCTAAAGGAAAAGAAAATATTTTTTGGCGCAAGTATAATTCATAGATTAGTTATTTTGAGGGGGGGGGACACTATGAAAATCCGTTTTTAAAATTATTGCGAAAAATCCAAGAAAAAACGTTTCTTCTTGGATTTTTTGCAATAATTTAAAAACGGATTTTCGTAGTTTTCTTTTTTGTCAAAGAACGTTTCTTTTTAACACGTGTTTCTCAATTTCCTGTACACATCGCAGAGAGGGAAATTCTGGCCGCCAGGTTCCGTCGCCAAATCCCTTGGCAAATTTTCTCTCCGCTTTCTAGCGGCGTAATAGCATTTACGTGTATGGCACCTTTTCTTCTTTACATAGACGTTCTTTGGTTAGAATAATCTCCTTGTGTGGTACAGTGGAATTTGGCGACATGGTGATGAGCAGTAAATGGGGCATTTTGTTTTTGGCGACAATTTTCAAAATCATGCGAAAGCCTTACTGCATACTAGGATTTTACCGCAAAATCTATTTTTGTTTCTTTTCTTTTTAATAAATACTTTGTCATTTTGCAGGAAAATAAAAAAATAGTAATCAGTCATCTAGGCTAACTATATTTGCTAAAATATTGTTGATTATTCTAATTCAATTTTTAAGTAATTATCTTTATTTTTATGTTATTCATATCATTTAATGTTGCTTCTTCCTCTAAATTTATTTATCATTAGTAAATAATATTTCCAAATTTCAGGAAATTTTCTCTGGCATAATCCTGAAATTGTAGCAGTATGATGACATCACGAAATTTAATGCACATATATTTTCCATATGTATGCTGGGAAATAAATATAAGATACCTCAATTTAGTAAAAAAAATATCATTAAATAGATTTCTTTCTTTCATTTAGCTGCAAAAAAAAAAAAAAAAAAAAAAAAAAAAAACCTTATTTTATTCCAGATTGGGCAGATTCTAATCTCAATCTCAATCTTCAGTGGAGAAAACAACTCCTATTATAATTATATTTGTGTTTTCAAGTGTTAAGGTGCCTTTTAAGAAGACACCTCACACAAATTAAATTCACCTAAAATCTAACCTAACTATTTAACATTGCGTTGTGATTTATAAGAACCGGATTAGCCTCGTGTTGAACTGGTGATGATCATGAGTAATAATTAAATAAAACGTACATTTGTTATCCAATGTATATATCTTAAATTTTATTAAGTTCCTTAAGTGGAAAAGTAAACAAAAATTATCAAACAAAGTGTACAAGAATAATTAAGAATAAATGTCCTCTGGGATTTATTGAATAATTAAGTGAATTTGCTACATAGTACAAGTAATACCATAATTAATTTACCTCTTAGCACAGCCAACGTACATTATGCGGATAGACTGGAATTTTCTCGAAACATACCTGGAAAAGTCAGGGAATTTCATTCTCCTGTTTGAGTGGCAACCCTGTTTCAGCACTACAAAAATTACAGACCATTATTTTTGAAATTAAATATTTTTAGGCAGGCCAGCAAGCACCTGTGTCCAGTAATGATTTGATTGTAATCAAAATCACATATCATTCACATATTTTTAGGAACTTCAAAGTTCAACAAATAATCCCTTTTCCCCCGAAATGTTCTATTTCACTTTCCAGACATCATAACAGAAATCCTACTTTACCAATAACAATTCTTTTTGATGCTTGAATATCCAAAGCATCCCCGCATTACCCACAGCAGCCTCATTGACCAACATGTCAGCCCTCTCATTGCCTATAACACTAATATGGGCTTCCACAGAGTTCATTTTCACATCATGTATCCTTTTTAATTTTTTACAAGGAGATCTTTTATATACAAGACCAAAATACTAGTGTTATTAGCATCTGCTAATGCTTCCAGAGTCTGTATACGAGTATATATTAATATATATTTTTACAGTCAGGTTTTCATCAATCCATTTAAGAGCAAATATGTGAATGCTAAAATTTCTATTTTGTATTTTCAGAATATATTTATTAGTTAATTCAAAAATAAGATATGTGGAAATAAAAGTACTCCTCTTTTGTTTTCATGCTCTAAAATCATTACATGAAAATTCATTTAAAACTTTTACAGTTAGAAAAAGCATGCCTGCAGTGTGATGACTAGTAGATGCTCTTTTTTTACCACGCTAATTTGTACGATAACGTTTTAAAACTATGAAGTTTCTGCATCGCTATATTTTCTTTCATGATGTTTTCTTTTTACTTTTTCTTTTACAATGACATTTTCTCTCGTGCTGATTTCATCACCAACCCTTCTTGCTGATGCTGCTGCTAGCCCCTTGAAAATCATTAGCATATGCTGTCAGAACTCTACTTATTATTATTGACTACTTACTCTACTTACAATGAACACTCAACTGACATCTTTCTACTTTTTAATTTTTATTTTCTCCATAAGCAGCACTTACATCAAATCTATATATCAGGCCTCATGCAATCGTTTAAGAATATTGTGGGTAAATCACGCACAAAGATCACTGGATTACTGTCTAATGAC